TTTCTTCTCGAGTCCCAAATGTGTGGCCTGGGCAGCAAGAGGGGTTTTGGTGAGGTTTATTTTAAGTGCATGGAAAAGGGGGCAGGTGAGGGGATGAGGGTGGTCTTCTCTGTCCTTAAATGGCTCTAAATGAAAATCGAATTAAGGGTGGCAGCAAACCAGCTTTTGTAAGAGTTGCATCTTTTCCGTTAATCTCGTGGTGGAACCTTAGCTCAGTGAGCAAGTTTAGAAGAAAAGGTTTCATCAAGGTATAAAAATGAGTATTTTACATCACAAAGCTTGCATTATTTTCTTGGTGTCGAAGCAATTCTATCTCGATGGTCTATTCAGGAACTACAATTAACCTGTATTATCCATTCTGTTCAAATGGATGATATGACTAGAAAGCTCAGAATTTAAACAAAAAAGCTGGGTTTTTTTTTCCTCTTTGTTTGTTTGTTTGTTTTTCACATGAAAATTGCATTTACAGTGCAGGGTAATTCACTGTTTCAGTGTCTGCATTAACGTGGTCAATATGCCCAACGAGTATTTTTTTAATTTTGCAGACAAAAAATGTTGGTGTGTAATTTTTCTCATTTCTTTCTACTGATAAGCAGTAGATCCATAAAAGCTGAAAAAAGAGATTGTTGGCTCTATAGCTTCCTAAAGGGAAAGGAAAGTTTTGAGAGAGAACTTTGAAATCTGACAATTAAGTTGAAGAATCCCCTATCAGGTAGCAATTTCCAAATACTAATTTAGGCACACTGGTGATTATGTATTGCCCTGGTCATTCAGCTTTGTTTCAGGAATCCCTCAAATGTTATTTGCTTGCTGCATCTTTGATTTCTTTGCTTGTGCGAATTTTTTAAGTGAATGTTGCTCTGTAATTAGCTGGGACCTTGGCAAGATCTTTTAGGCTCTCTAATCTCTTTGCTTTCCTACATCTTATCTAAGAGGAATCTTAATTGAGACGACTGTAGGAGTGACTCAACAAAGTGGGACCTAAAGCAGGGTCTTCAGTTTGCTTGGACTTAATTCTCAGAGTCTGCAACCAAAACAGCTACTGCTGTACCCTGGAAAAGCAAAGCTACTGCCAGGGCTGTGTGTCTTGTCTGGATTTTGAGGACAAGGAGTCCTTCTCACTAATAACTCTATCTGGTATCTTAATTGGTAAGTAAATGAATAAAAGATGTGTTTATTGCTGTGCAATGAGCTTGTTTGTTTTCCCTGCTGTCATTGATTTATTTTGGAGAGGGGAAGGGGACAAGTCTTTGAATTCATTTGTATCCCTCCTACATTTGGAGTCAGTCTTGCTGTCTGTGCATTTCCTCAAAATGGAGGCCAGAAGTACAGAAAACCTGAATTATCATAGTAAGGTCAAGTACGGTGTGACAGTGTTTCTCTAGATTATTTAAATTATCCAGCTGTGTACCTGAGTGACTTATCATCAAAAGCAAAGAACTCAGACTGTTTCTTGTTATGATTTTAAAATCTGCCTCGTGCTAATGAATACGCTTGTTGCATTCGGTCCAAATCTGGGGCTAATAACTGATTTAATTTGTAGCAAATCTGGTGGGTTTAGAGCTGTATTCACACCAGAGACCACAAAAACCCAACAGGAGCAGCAGCAACCAAAGTGGCTTCGTTTTTATTTGTTTCTTTCCACACAGTTATTTGGTTTTGGAGTAGTGTCACCACTTCTCATAAGCGGCTTGTCCTGCGCCCGTGACTCACGACAAAGTGTCACTGCCAAGGCCCTCTGTCACACCCAGCCATCGCCCCCAGCCACCCAGCAGAGCAGAGGGCTTTGCAAACAGAACATTCATCTGAATTACATGTTTCTGAGCGGGAACCGCTTTGTTTTGCAGAGAGTTTGGCCGCTGGAAGGTGAACAACCTCGCTGTCGAGAGGAGGAACTTCCTCGGCTCTCCGCTGCCGCTCGCCCCCGAGTTCTTCCGTAACATCCGGCTGCTGGGACGGCGCCCGACCCTCCAGCAGATCACAGAGAACCTGATCAAGAAATATGGGACGCACTTCCTGCTGTCAGCCACCCTGGGAGGTAGGGCTCGTGCCCGGAGACGCTGGGGATGAGTTTGCTGCGGCTGAACTGAAAGTTGGGGTCTGTTCATTTCAGGGGAAATGAACTCAAAGGACAGATTATAAATCAGAATAACAATTTAATAAAATAATACAATAAATAAGATTATACAGACAAACAGTTGGTTTGAACCCACAAAGCCCAAATGTATAACCCAGCACCTTGGGGCATGGATGGAGTGGTGTTTGTTGGGCCCCAAGTCCAAAGTAAAAGGAGAGGGGAAAAAAAACCTGTTGGTGAGAGTGCTGGTGCAGTCTGGTTGAGAGTGGTGATCTGCAGTCTTCCTCTGGATCCCACGAGTGGCTAAAAAAGTCCCAAGACTCCAAGATTATATATCCTCCAGTTCAGGCAGGAATGCTCAGTACCTCTCTCAGGGCAGGGAGTTCCACAATGGGTGTGAGGAGCACCCTCCTATCTCACAGGCCTCTGAACACCCAGTTTACAGCCTGAGGGGTCAGGGGTGCTCTGGGCAGAGGGTGTAAATGGTCTACTGATACCAGTTTCTGGGCAATGGCATGGAAGGCTATAGAATACCCAATTTTGGGTTACACCCACGCAGTGCTGAACTGGTCCCAGTTGTTCTAACTAGGACAGGGTCACCCCTGGTTCCTTTGTAGAACCGGTGACTCCTCAGAGGGGCTGGGATCAGCAGCTCTCCGGGCAGCAGGTTTTGTTACAAGCCTGGTGGCTCCTTCTGCTGATGTTAAACTTTGCTTTACTGATGCTGCATAAACAGTTTCATTATGCACAAAAAGAAAAGAAATCCGGTTGCTAAGATTGAAGTGCTTCACCCGAGCTCCTGGTGTGCCCCGTGGCTTTGGGGGATGTTTCTCTGCACTGAGGTGGTTAAGGGGAGGGATTTTTTTTCTGTAAGAAGTCCTTGTAACAATTTACATAACAACAGATTACAGAAATATCTGGGTCCTTTACAGTCCTGCAGAAATAAAGCCAGAAAACCAGTATCAGCTATTTCCATCGAATCTTTGAATCCATGAGACCTTTAAACCACTTTGCTGGGAAATCCCTATTTGCCACTCTGCCCTTTTTAGAACTAGTTTCCACTTAACCAGTGGCACTGAGTTTTCAAAATGGGCTGATGAGGCTTTGCCATGTGATTCCCATTATCTTAATGGGATCTGTGTGCCTCAGTCCCCACAGAGTAATTTGGAGAGGGTAGCCTGATGGATAATTGGGATCCAGTCACTGAATGGATTGAAGAAATCCAGTGAAGAGGCCTAATGTTCAAGGGGGAGCATAAATTGTTCGGAATGAGAGATAATTAGTACCTGTGATTACCCACCCAGGCATTACAGAATGAACTGACATTTCAGAAATGCAGCTTCATCCCACGGTGGGCGATTGTATTAAAGGCAATTCTGGTGATTGAGTGTCCTTCCAGCAGGACAGGCTTGTTGAAATCCTTTATTCACCTGAGGAATGGTTTTCTTTAGTGCACCTCGTGACTGAATCCCAACCATTTGTGAAGGAAATAAAAGCTTTCCTGGTCTGGCTGATAGCTGAGACCTGTAAAGACCAAAATGGCTCACAGAGGCCACCTTTTGGAAGTGACCATCCTAGTAACAAGGTGAATTTCTGTCTTGCTGTAGTGGTTTTAAAAAATAAAGAGCTAATTCCTATCGTTATTTTGGGAACTGGTACCTCTACAGCAAATACATTCTCCTTAGAATTTTAAGAACAAATTACACCTGTCGACCAGCAATTTGAAATAAAAATCCCATAATTTCTTTTAATTACTTTGAATATTTTTGCATGTGAATATACCTTCTTATAAATGACTGTGTGTTCTCTTAAGTATATGACACATTTGCATAGAAAAACTAACTGCTGAAGAGAAAGGAAATGTTTATTAAAATACAATAATTAAGGCTTTGCCTGCAGCATGTATCCTGCTGCAAGGATTATCCAGTGTTACTGGCTATCTGCTCATTACTAACTCATGTAACTAGCAGTACCTCAGCCATGCCATGAAATTAATTTTCAAGGTGCAATTGGATCTAACAACTCTAGGAAAACAGTCTAACATGAGAATAACTGATCTTTAAAATCAAAGCACCGGTATCACGCTGATCATAAAAGAGCTACAGAGTTGACACCCTCTAGGAGGTCTGGACCTAAGTAAAAACTAACACTGAAACGATATTTTTTTTTGGAAGACATTTGAAAATCGGAGCTCAGACATTCCATATCCTCCCCAAGGTGTCAGGATTTGCTGCAGGGAAGCTGAGGGAGGGTGCCCTTTTCTCCCCCTGCTTCAGACCACCTCTCCGTGGCTCTAAGATGAGAAGCTGCCACAGGCTTGCTCAGATTCTCACTCGTAGGGAGACAGAGTTGACTTCTGGGCTCTGTCCACCTCGATGAGGTGAAAGGGAGTTTCTCTGTAAACTTTGACGGGTTTTGATTTAGGTCCCTAGCCTGAAATTATAGACATGATTTGAGGCACACCTGCTGCCTCCCATTATCATTGGATGGGTGCTGAATACTTAAAAAAAATTGTTTCTATTACAATAATTACAGGGAATTAGTGATTTCTAAGAGCTTTCATGAGGTGGCTAATAAACCCACACTTTCCTGTATGTGTGTCCTAGTTAGGGTTCTCATTTTTGTCTAGATTGAATGGGGATTCCCACAGATGCTTGTCCACACTTTATTAACATGTAATTAGATTTTTTTTTCTTTCAGTAATGTATTAGTACTTACCCTTTAATTACAAGTTGTTTTATTGTGAAAGCTTTGTCACTTATGCAGCTTGTTAAAAGCAGAAGACCAAACTGACTGTGCACAGCACTTTCAGTTAATGAATCCCCAATCATCTGTATTCATGGACAGAAAGGAAAACTTGGCAAATGAATGAGGATGTGGTAAGATTTTGTGTGCCTCTGTGACCATTTGGCTCTCACGAAGATCCCTTTTTGAGCACAAAGGGAACTCTTGCACATGGTTGGTTGTGATCTGTTCCTGTTGGTTAGGAGTCTTACATTTAAATGGCCAGAGATATATCAGGGTAAATTTTTCTATATATTTCTATATATGTTTTTCTATACATGTTTTATTTCATATTTCTTAAAAAAAACCCAGCAGATGGAATAACTTTCTCAACTCAGGGGAGTGGCTGTCAGTGGGAGCCTCTCCATGGCCATAAAGCATCCGTGCAGTGACTCTGCTAATTTCTGGAACCAGTCAATCCTTGGATGACGTGGCATCATTTTGTGAGCATAACTGAGTGTTTTCATGCTGTTTCCTTTAAACCTGAGAAAGTGAAGTTTAACTGGCTCTTGAATTTCGTGCTGGAGAGTAAACTCTGCTTGAAGAGCTGGTGAAAAGCACAGCTGGGAGAATTCCATGCTGAGTAATCACATTTTCTTAGTATTCACTGTCATCACTCCTTTTCAGTTCTTAAAACTCGTAACTTTCTAAATCACACTTGGTTTTTTAGCTGATGTTTGGACGTCTCCTTAGCCTGTTTCATGGTGTAACCAGGGGAAAACAAGATTCAACCATGCTTTCAATGTGACAAAAGAGCCTCTTCTGGCGTGGGTTTCGTTTTCTAGAAATTAACTTCAAACTCAAATTGTCTTTCCCAGATCAAATCTGAGTCAGTGGTGTTAATTCCCAAACCCAGGAGCTCTGGGTGCAGTTCTGCAGGGATGTGGGTGCCTGAGCACCAGTGTATGGGGCAGTTCTTGGGGTTTTAATCCACCTTTTCTAACAGGAGCTAAATTGGCTCCGACAGATGAAAAACTCTGTCAAAATTCTTTTGAACAGCAACTATTTTTGAAACCCACCTGATTGCACAGCTACAAGTGCCTGGGAATGGCAGTGCTGAGCCAGGACACGCTTGTGTGAGATTCCACATAAATGCCATGCAGGAATTTTTGAGGAGGAAGAACTTCTTCCACACTCACACCGAAGGCCCTTCACTGCAGCTGCCTTTGCTCAGCCTTGGGAGATGTGAGTCAAAGTAAACATTTCAACCTGGTCACAAAGGATGAGAAACAAAACATCTCTGTCAGGGAGTGGGACTGAGGCTGCAGGGCTGGGGATGCCAAGGGAATCCTGCCTGCCAGAACACACCCACCACCAACTGCCTGCCGTGGAAACCATAGGATCAAACGGGACTGGGTTAGTAGGGTGATGTGACAACTGTGATGGGGTTTAAAGGCTGTTTTCCTGAGACTTTCCAGTCAAAACAAAACAGCACAACACAACACACAAATGCTTTTTCAAGGTTGGTTTGCTTGTTTTTGAAATGGGAATTTTTATTGTGGTTTTGCTCTCTGCAAACTCTGTTTTAATAATAAAACTTAGCAGAACTCTGTTGAAGTAGAAGTCATCTCATTATCTCTGCTAATGACTACACAGATCAATCAAAAGTGTTTATACCAGAGAAGGATGGGGTGGATGCTCAGAGGGCTGGAGCAGCTCTCCTTTGGGCACAGGCTGAGGCAGCTGGAGGTGTTCAACCTGGAGAAGAGAAGGCTCCAGGGAGACCCTATTGCAACCTTCCAGTGCCTAAAAGGGCTTATAAAAAAGGAGGGAGAATGACTTTTTACATGGACAAATAGTAACAGGACAAGGGGGAATGGTTTTAAACTAAGAGAGAAGAAATTTAGGTTAGATGTTTGGAAGGAATTGTTGGCTGGGAGGGTGGGGAGGCCCTGGCCCAGGTTGCCCAGGGAAGCTGTGGCTGCCCCTGGATCCCTGGAAGTGTCCAAGGCCAGGTTGGACGGAGCTTGGAGCAACCTGGGCTGGTGGAAGGTGTCCCTGCCCATGGCAGGGGGTGGGACTGGATGGACTTTAAGGTCCCTTCCAACCCAAACCACTCCATGGTTCTGTGGTATCAGAGAAGACAACATCAGAACTCAGAGGGGTAAATACTGTGTCAGTGACTAGATCAGGCCATGCAAATTGGGTGCAAAATTTAACTAGGAGATTTTTCTCCATGTTTTCTCCTCTTCCAGAGGTCTTAGCTGGTGTATTTAGAATAAAGGGGCTTTTGAAAGCTCAACCACCTTTCTAGTAGAAAGATGAGTTGTAAGGGCCGAGAAAACAAGCACTCAAAGCTGCAGAAAATCTCTGAAAACAGAGGGGGGAGAGAAGTTTTCAGGTTCTTTGTTTTTACATTATCACAGAACCACAGATTCGTAGAATGGTTTGGGTTGGAAGGGATCCTTGGCCCAGGCTGCTCCCTCTTACCTGGCCTTGAGCACTTCCAGGGATCCAGGGGCAGCCACAGCTTCTCTGGGCAACCTGTGCCAGGGCCCCAGCACCCTCCCAGGGAAATCTTAACATCTGTTCTAAACCACATCTTTACAGCTCCACAAACAGCTGCACGAAGCCCACATGAGCCTCTGGCTCAGCTCTCTGCCCACTCCATTGCTTTCCATCTCAGGAACACCTTTCCCTCTGGCTGGATCCCACGGCAGGTTGTGCCAAGGCAGGTTCTGTTGCACGGGCAGAGTTGAAAGCCAACGGTGCCGGAGCCTGGATGTGCTTTTGGTGGCACATTTCTCTCAGAGGGTCTGCTGTGCTTTCCCAGTGCCCTGCTCACGGCTGCTGGCACAGATGCAGCACAGTGTGACAAATGTCCCACCTGGGCACAGCCCTGGCACTGCCTGATGGTGCAGTGAGCCCTGTGCATGAATCTGTGCTGGTGCCACGTGCCCATCCCCGCCCTGCCAGGCACCTGCTCTGCTTTGCAGGAGGTTCTGGCAGTAGAAAAGTAAAACATGAAACCGTGTCTAACTATTACAGCAGAAAGACTGGATAACTGGGCAGGAGAATCCTCGTATTTATGGATGCTGCTTTAACTCCTGGTTCTTGGGAGCTCCAGGCAGTGAATCCCTGCATTGATGGCTGTGTGCACAAACAAAAAAAAATGACCCATTATGACACCACAGGAGGAGAAGTGTGAGTGTGGTGGTGGAAACTGAGGGAAGCTCCAGCTGGAATAGCCACCTGTCCTGGGCACAGCTGTCCCTTCCAGGACAAAAGGGACAGACTGGACAAGCCCCTTGCGGGGCTAATTAGATAAAAGGCTCCTGGGTAATGGCAGTTTTGCCTTTCTGAAGGGCCTGACTGTCCTCTGAATTTCTGAGAGACTGGGAAGCACGGAAGGGACATTGGGGAAAGAGGAGTGTGCTCATGTTAATTAAAGACAAAGGAGCTCTGTGAGCCAGACTTTGCTGACAGATGTGCTCCCCTGCACGGAGGCAGGAGTGTTCTGCACTCAGCACTGCTCACCACCAGGATTATCTCCCTCTGAAGATGATGTCATGTTTTCATCCTGCATTTTATCCCTCTCCAGCTATTACTTTTTGGCACGTAAACTCATGTGAAGCTGGCATCCCATCCCCTGCATGGGCACAGTGCCACTGTAGCAGATGGGTGAGCAGTGAAACGAGCACAAGTGGCAAGTCAGACCCTGTCAGGGCAACTTCCTTTCCAGGAACAAGGAAACAGCATTCAGTGGAGTTGCTCAGAACCTAACATACAGGTATAATGACATTGCAATGACAGCATAATCCATCCCTGAGCTAAGTTTTGAAGAATGCAAGTTACCAAACACAGGCTCAAAAAGTGAGAAAAGTGTTTTTGTAGTGACTTCGGACATAAATTGCACGGAAGAAAATCCTGAGTCAATAAATTACTTTTCTAATTTTTTCCCTGAAGTAAGGAGTTTTGCCTAAACCCTTTACTAAATGAATGAATGCTTGCTTAGCCTGGAACAGAGGTAAAAGTATTCATGAACTAGACAATAAATGTGGAAAATCTGCCGGTATTAGATGGTCTAATCTGGAATGGTTCCCCAGAACTAATTCAGTTAAGCGAGCCAGATTTTTGTTTTTCAATAATCCTACAGCAATTAAAATGTCTGACTTCAACAGTATTGATCCACGTCTCTGTAAAGAGAGAGGGAGTGAAAAATCCACCACAGGAGAGGCTGGATCTTCTCTTTGCTTTTGGAAGAGCAAGGGCTTTCCAAAGATCCCACACTTTCCAGTCGTGTAAGTCTGGTTTAAGACAAGTGTTGTATCACATTTCAGGCATTTTAGCATTGCTGAATTCATTAGAAAGCACAGGGTTGCTTATAACCGGTTGTAACCTTTCTTCTGATATCAGCTATGATACAAAAGAAAGAAATAAACAAACAAACAAAAAAAGAGTCTTGTGCATTACACTGGTTTCATTTTCTTTTACACCAGCATTAAACACTGTAAAACGGACGTGTTAAACCTTGGAAATAAACATTTTTTTTACGTGATTCTGTGCTGCTGGGCGTTGCTGATGACTGCTTGGGGGTTCCTCCTGTCTCCCTGCCCAGGAGAGGAGTCGCTCACGATTTTTGTGGACAAACGGAAGCTGAGCAAGAGGCCGGAGGGGAGCGAGCCCGGCACCAACAGCTCGGCGGTGACCCTGGAGACGCTGCACCAGCTGGCAGCCTCCTACTTCATCGACAGGGACAGCACACTGCGCCGCCTGCACCACATCCAGATCGCCTCCACCGCCATCAAGGTAGGGCAAAAAACCCCCCCAACAAACAAAAAACTAACAGAAAAATAGTTCCTAGCAAAATGATGATTTTTTTTTTTTTTATTCCGAGCTTTTGTTGACCCGAATTGAAGCATTTTCGATTTATAAGGAAGATTCTAGTTTAGAAGAGGGTCTAAAGATGCAGCAGTGATGTTAGTCTGGGTGAATGGTGCATAATTTGATTTTTACACCTTTATAGGGGCGTTTGGTCATTGAGGCAACCTCATGTAAATGTGTGCTCAGTAACTGCCTTTATAGACACATTTCTATTTCTCCTACTTCTTTCCTTCTTTTTCCTCTTCTTTTAATTTTTTTTAATGTGATTATTGTACTCCTGTGCCTGAAACATTAATTTTATTTAATGTTTGGTCACTGAGGCAACCTCATGTACATGTGTGCTCAGTAACTGCCTTTATAGGCACATTTCTGTTTCTCCTACTTCTTTTCTTCTTTTTCCTCTTCTTTTTAATTATTTTTAATGTGATTATTGTACTCCTGCGCCTGAAACATTAATTTTATTTAATGTTTGGTCATTGAGGCAACCTCATGTACACCTGTGCTCAGTAACTGCATTTATAAACACATTTCTATTTCTTCTACTTCTTTTCTTCTTTTATTTTTTTTTTTTTAACTGTAGTTATTGTACTCCTGTGCCTGAAACATTAATTTTATTACTGTTATTTTTTTTTACTGCCCTTTGGAACAATCTGGAGCTCTTGGCTCTACAGCTTTAGGGAGAGGTGTTATTTTCTGCTAGGAATTTCTCTTAGCTCAGTTTGTCAGTGAAAGCATTCTGTCTACTGACTCTGCAGCTCACTCATAGGAAGTCTCCTCACAGGAGGATGCTTGGCTAAGATCAGAGTCCCCCAGGTACAGTATAAAGCAACAATTTTCCTTTGGAGCAGCTCTCTAACCTTATTTGAAAATAACCTCTGTCAGTCCATTTCCAGCACTGAAGAGCAAATAAAATTTTAGCTTGCAGTTGAATATGCAGTAATTATGGAAGCCTTAATGTAAAATGTGATTTAGAATCCTTTCTGCTCATTGGATCTTTCCACTGGTAACCAAGATGTTCACTAAAGACCACCTGAAGCCAGATGTAATTTCCAACTACCCTGGCTGTCAGTGAGGCCAATATGAATTTAGTTCCCTGGAAGTGCCTTTACAGGGAGAAGGGGTTGAGCAGAATTTGTGGATTGACAGCACCTGCTGGTACATGGAGGATATTCCTCCTGTCCCATCCATCCAGGAATGGTGGCAGGGCAGCTCACCCAGCTGGACTGTACCATACTAGCAGGGTTGTTTATGTTTTAGGAAGAGAGAACTCAGAGTATTAATAATGTTTCATGTAACTCATCCTCTTCCTAGGAAGAATATAACTATCCTTTTGGGAATGTGTATGTGAATAAAATGAAAAAAAACACCCCCAATATGCTATATGGAACAGAAAATACTTAAAGCACAAATCAAAAGCCATGATATTTGCAGTTAAATCAGAGCACTTCAGTGCACAAAGGAAATCTGCCACCCCAGTTCCTGCAGGTTTGGACTTCGACAGGAACAGGAATAATTTGCTTTGCTGTTTGACTGGTTGGTTTGTCACATTTGCTGTGACTGGGCAGTCTGAAACTGTGACAGGAGTGAAAAAAACATTGCACAACTGTTTGCACAGCAACGTATTTGGGGACTGTAGTGTCCAGAGATGGCTTTCTTCGTGGCTGGACACCCCTAAAACATTATTTGAGAAGAGAGATTAAAAAGACGCTCTCTTTCTTTCAAAAGTACACAGACAACCCCTCTCCCCCCCAAAACCAAAGCCAGTATTTCTTCCTTTCCCCCCCCCCCCAAATCAGTATAAGACTCCCTTTTCAAGTTAAGCTACATCACTCTCACACCTCTTTCTTTCTCTATTCATATGAAAAAAATGGCAGGTTTTCTCCTAAAAAGCAAAAGGATGATATTTATAAACACCACAGTGTATGTTCTAAGCAAGTTACTACATTCATTCTGTGTCCTTCCTTGTGATTTTTTGTTTCTCCTGATTTTTCTGTGTTTTAGGCTGTCTGGTTTGTGCAGTGTAAACCAGGAACACCTTAATAAGATTTAGTGATCACTTATTTATCAACAAAAAAAAATGTAAAAATAACAATGTGGAAAGAAATATTATCTCATCTACAGCACCATGAAATAGTAAGGAAAAAAAATATAAGCATTCAGCAGCAGAACAGAGTCTTGAAGCTGCCTTAAAGCACCCCCAAGGATGGATTTATTTAGCACAGGAAAGAGGATGAGCAGCTCTCCCACTCACAAATCAGGGCTGTGTCCAGGTTTGGCCACTCAGTTCCTAATGTTTCCATCCTCTCAGACTAATGAATTCTTCCTTAATAGATTAAGGTCTAAGGTCTTTCCAGATGGGACACAGAATGTGATCCATTAAGTCTCTGAGTTACAGAGCCCAATCAACAAGGCATCAAATATTAGGTGAGAGTGATCAAGCTCAATTAGTCTTCTGGAAAAAAAAAAATTAAATAAAATCAGCAAGAGATGTCTGTTTTCCTAAATTCTAAAGATGTCTCTTTAGAAAGCAACACATAATGAATAATTTTTTTCTCGCTTATGGAATTGAAGCAATTAACACTGGAGAAATTCTTATCTTCTTTGTTCAATGTCACTGAGATATGTGATTGCTGAATATTCTTCTCACAGTTCTTGTTATATTATTTTGTGGGACTGATGCAGGAAGACAATATTTTGATAAGTTCTATAATTAAGCTTTTCTAACAAAAAACGAAGTTGTCACAGAGAAAGGAAAGCATTAAGAAGAGGAAAGTGAGAATTAACATTAAAGCCTTCATATTTAGTTTTTATTTACCTAGTGAGAAACAACACTATTCATAGCAAAGCCTGCTAATGTGCAGTATGAGGAAAGGAGTGGGAGAGATGAATTTGATGAATCAAGTTTGTTAATCAAATTTGCCTGTAATCAAGTTTGTTACCGTGACATAATTACCCTTAAAAGCAGCCCTGAGGCTTTGCATTAATCACACGGACAATACATTGCTTAGTCCACATTTAAAAAGGTAACATCATCCTGCTACAACATTATCTGACTGGAAATCAAAATGTCCATGGGAGAAACCCGTAGCTTGTATCAATATTTAACTTATTTAACAGTCCCTGAACATACATTCCTTCAGTATTGTATTAAAAAAGTGTTACAGTATTTGCCTCTTGGGGGATTACAGTGTTTTTCTTTTGGAGGATAGCACCTTCCATCCCAGAATTCATCTCCTTTCATGGGAGCTGGGCGGGGAGACCACAGAATACATGTTATTTTAGGGTCCAAACAGTTGTAGGACAGCCACAGTGCAACAAAAGAACAGGAGGCAACAGAAGAACAGATGCATAAATTGAATTTTCCACCAGCTATTTACAGCCAGATTACGGCCCATTTATTCCATCTGAGTGAGAAAGAATAAACATCCCTGAGAACGTGCCCTCTAATTTCAATTAAATTTTATTGTGCAATTTGCTTTTTACTTTCCCCCAAACACTTTTTTTTTTTTTTCTTTGCTACGAGAGATTTAAGCATTCTGTTGTCTTTGAAAACTTTTGATTACAACCAACAGGGCTCTATTGTGATGGTAACTATATCTGATTATCTATAATTAACCCATGAATGACTCATGGTGGGCTGTTAGAAAGGAAACGTAAGTGTAATGAAATTAACTTCTCACTCAAAACTCAGCCTGAAATACAGACCTTTTTTTTTTTTTTTTGGTTGGTTTTTTTTTGGTTGTTTGTTTGGTTTTTTTTTCTTTGTTTTGGAGCTCGCTTGATTCAATATTTTTTCCTTTCATATCTCACGTTTGAACGTGCTTTTCCGTGGGTTCCAATAATTGCTGTAATCCAAAGTAGAAATGCTAAAATACTATAAA